CAGCACACCAGCAAAGTGAACTGTTCGGCTCCAGGATTTTACAAAAACTCTGGGTGCTGCCAAAAGGCTATCAGCCTACCCAAGACTTACTATGGTGACCAAGGCGACACATACCTCACTAGTGACTTGCCTGCCACCTGTAAGAAAGACACATTGCAGTGGCAGGAAACACAAAGAGGCCGGGGAAAACTACAATGAAAAGATGGTTGGAAAAGTAGGCTCAGAGCCTAATTGGTAAAACAATGGCTGCATTTCAACATGGATAGACATCTCCTACTGCTCATAAGTTAGAACTCTGGTAGCCTAGTGCTAAGAAGCTATGCTGCAAACCCAAATGCATGAAGTTCAAATCCACCAGGTGCTTTGTGGGAGAAAGATGAGCAATTTCCTCCTGTGTGATTAATTGCCTCTGAAAACCCACTGGACAGTCAATTACGGGTCAGTTCCAACTCGACAGGCCACACCACCACCACTCCTCATCAATAACCTTCTTTATGCAGACGACATACCTTGCTTACTGAAGGTGAGGACAAGAATTTGCTGCAGAGATCAAAGACTGCCGCATTCAATACAGATTACATCTCAACATCAAAAAATAAAAATTCTCACCACAGGAACAATAGTAAACATTACGATAGATGGAAAAAAGCCTGAAACTGTCAACAGCTTCATCTTACTTGGATCCACAATCAATACACTTGGTATCAGCAGTCAGGAAATCAGGAAATGTATTGTACCAAGAAAGTCTGCAGTCAGGGACTTTTCCAAATTATTGAGAAGCAATGTCAGTTTGAGGACTAAGGTGCACTTGATTCGGGCCATGGTCTTTTCAATCACTTGCTATGTATCTGAAAGCAGGATTAAAAAAAGGATGACAGCAGATAGAAATTGGTGCCTTTGGGGTGCGGTGTTGGAGAAGAGTACTGAATATCTCAAGGACAGCCAAAAGAACAGCTACGTCTTGGAGAAGACAGAGTGCTCCTTAGAGGCAAAGATGATAAAACTTCATCTCACATATTTTGGGCATGTTTGCTAGGAGAGGCTACTCCTTGGTGAGGGGATTCATGCTCAGAAAGGTGGAGGGATGAAGGAGAGGAAGAACCTCAAACAAGTGGATTGGTACAGTGAAGGCAGCAATGGAATCAAGTGTTAAGAGATTGTGAGGATACCACAGGATTCAGATCTGTTGTCACTATGAGTTGTACTCAATGGCACCTAACACAAAACAATTATGAGACAGCATCTCACCCTTCCAGCAACAAGAGTAAAGTTCAACAGGACAGCAAACAACAAATGCTGGTGAGGTTGTGAAGAGATTGGAACTCTTATTCACTGCTGGTGGGAACACAGACTGGTACAGCCACTATGGAAGGTGGTCTGGTACTTCCTAAAAAAGTTCAACGGAACCTAACAACAAGTCTGTTTTCTGCTCCTCCTTCAGCAGACATGATGATCCCACCTCCATTCAGTCACCTGGGCCCATCTCGACCAGGTATAACACCAGCACCCCACAACTGGTCCCTTCTGTCATGCCAATGATGGGTCCTCCTTCTCCTGGGACGATGCCAGTGGGACTTGGTACTGGAATGAGACAACCCAGGGAGGGCCACATGTTAATGATGTCTGAACCCCCAGTGATGAGGCCCCCTGCTTGTATCATGACAGTTCTTACACAGCCAGGAATGACTCGAACAAACAGATAAAGACAAGAGTACAGGCTCTTGGTATCACTTTTTTTGTTTGTTTGTTTTTTGGGTTTGTGGGCTTCTTTTGGTTTTTTTTTGAGAGCCAGAAGTTCAATTTATTGGCGCACAGGCTAAGACAGGGCAGTGCTAATCAAGGTCTTCATGAATGCAGGGCCCGCCACTTGTCCAAGGGGCCACGACTGGGAATGTATTTCACTCCACAACCATCTGGAATGAGGCGCTTTTGAGCCACCATGTTTTCAAACTCATCCACATTAAACTTTGTAAATCCCCACTTCTTGGAGATAGGGATCTTCTGGCGCCCAGGGAACTTGAACTTGGCTCTGTAGAGGGCCTCAATCACATGCTCCTTGTTCTGAAGCTTGGTACGGATGGACATAATGACCTGGTCAATGTGGACCCTGGCCACTGTACCCTAGGGTTTTTAAAAAGGCACCTCGCTTACCTCTCTGGAGCCTGCCAGCTCCAGCACAGGACATCTTGTTGATGCGAATGACATGGAAAGGATGCAGCCGCACTCTGATGTGAAAACCATCTTTGCCACAACTTTTTACCACGTACTTGTTGGCAGAAATGCAGGCAGCCTCCAGGGCTTCTGAAGAGAGTTGCTCATATTCATCCGACACCATGTGGCCACAGAGTGGGAACTCATCCACTTTTTCCTTCTTCCAACCCAAGTCAAAGATGCAGAAGAAGTGGGACTTTGGATAGGGCTTGTTTTCACAATACCGGTAATACCGGGCTGGGCGGCGGGCCATGGCAACACCGGGATCTTTGCCCCGCGCAGAAGGGAAAAAGTGGTATCACTTTTATATTACTTAGTGTACTACTTTCACTGGGAGTCTGTAGTTTAGGGACCTCTCCAAATGACTGAGGATTAATGACGTCAGTTTGAGAACTAAGGTATGCCTGATTCAGTCTTTTAAATCACTTGCTACGCACCTGAGAGCTGGACGATGAACAAGGATGACATAGAAAAACCGATGCCTTTGAACCACAGTTCAAAGGAAGGAAAATAATGAAGTATCCCATGACCAAAATGTTAGAACTGGAGGAAAGGAGGAAAATAATGAATATCCCATGAACTGCCAAAAGAACAAACAGAAGAAGGCATATCCAGAGTGCCTGGAGGCAAGGACGTTGAAGCTTCATCTCACATACTTTGAGCATGTTGCTAGGAGAGGTAATTCCTTGGAGAGGGACATCATGCTTGAAAAGGTAGAGAGATGGTGTAAGAGAGGAAGACCCTCAACTAGGTGACTTAACACAATGACTGCATTAATGGGCTCAAGCGTGTCAGAGATTGTGAGGTTGGCACAGGATAAGATGGGGTTCAGATTTGTTTTTCATAAGATTGTTGAGTCACACTTGACTCAATGGCACCTAGCAACAACTTTACCAGGAGATTGTGGTGCTGTAATTATGGCTAATTTCCAACAGCACAAGGAAGTGTTGTCCGGGCAAAGGATTTAAAAGCAATTTTTGTTTGTATTGTGACATGAGAAAATAAAATTCTCAACTCTTTTAGTTAAAAAGCATGCATGCACAAACATATACACACACACATATATACACTCTGGTGTTGTTGGTAGAGAACTGCACTGCAAACCCAAAGGCCATACCTTCCTGGCAGCTCAAATACACCAGATTCAGGGAAAGAAATATGGGCAATCTACTCCTGCTCAATTTATAACTGTGGAAGCCAGTGCAGAGGAGAGTCAGCTGTGAGTGGGTTCTAATTTGACAGTGAAAGAGAGAAATGAAAAACTAATTGCCTCATTATGAGGATATCCCAGGTGAAGTCAGAAAATAATTTAATCCTTAAGAGTTCTCTGTCCGATTTTTGGAAACCTCGTCAGTCCTTCCTCGTGAGGTGCCTCTTAGTGGCCTCAAATCAGCAGCCATTGCTATAGATTTACCTGTTTCTGTAGGGCTGATTCCCAGTATGGTGGCCCTAAAGGAAAGAATAGAATTGCTCTCTGGGTTTCTGAGGCTGTCAACTTTTTTCCCCATCACATCCTCCTCCCAAGGAGCAGCTCTAACTTTTGGTCAGCAGGCAAGGACTGTGCCAACAGAGCTTCTTTGTACCACATTTGGGTCCTCCCCTCTGACCTGGGAAGAAGTGTCACTCATCTGTTTAAATTCGCCTTTAGGTTAATATTCAAGTGAAACTCATCTGCACCAGCCATGGTCCCATGCCTTGTGCTTGTTAGTTACTGTCAAGCTGAGTATGACTCATTGTGGGTCTATGAACAACAGATCTGCATCCTTCCCTATCCTCACAATCTCTGACACACTGGAGCCTCCTGCTGTAGTCATTGTGTCAATCCATCTGGTTGAGGGTCTTCCTCTCAACAACCCTCCACCTTCCCAAGCATGAAATCCCTCTTCAATGAATAGCCTTTCATAGCAGCATGTCTCAAATATAGGAGACTAAGCTTCCCCAGTCTTGCCTCTAAGCACTCTGGGTGTGCCTTCTCCAAGACATGTTCTTTTGTCAGTTCATGGGATAATCCGTACTCTTCTCCAACAACACACCTCAAAGGCATCAATTCTTCTGTCATTCTTATTCATTGTTCAGCTCTCAGATGCACAGCAAGTGACTGAAAAGACAATGGTCTGAATCAGGCACACTTTAGTCCTCAAAATGGCATCATTGCTCCTTGGTAATTTGGAGAGGTCCCTTACTGAAGACTTTCCCAGTGCAATACATCTCCTCAGGAAATGCATATAAGATGAAAAGCAGTAAATCAAACATGTTGAGACTGTCCATCTTCTCAGGAGATGTATTGCACTGGTGGCTTAGTGGTAAGGAATTGTGTTAATGCAAAGGTATGCAGTTTGAATCCACCAGCTGTTCTACTGAGGAAAAATGAGCAATCTTCCCCTGCATGACTTGCTGCTCTGAACAGTTTCAACTCAATGGTACATAATAAGTATCTTCTAGCTTCTTGAACTGTAAAAAAAAATTAATTTCTGGGTTTTTTGTTTGTTTTAAACTGAGTGACATTTCTTTTTGAATAGCACTGGGGGGCTGTGACAGGGAACACAGGAAGAAGAGCATTAGATAGGTGAAGTCCACTCAGTAATAAGGCTGTGCTGGAGACAGATTTGGCAAAGAGGTAAACAAACCAGGAGAGCAGGCATCTCTGGATTATTCTCAGTTAACAGCAAAACCCAATCATGGACCAATATTCTTTAATCAAAAAGGCACTTGAGGACTCCTGCAAACCCAAAGTCCCCACCAGGTAGCTCTGCTCCACTCATTGCCCTGCATCCAGGCTTCCTCTGCTGTCAGAGTTCATCATGGCCTGTGGATGGAACCAAGCTGGGCTTGATAAAGACCCCTTCCATGACCTTCCAGGTATTGTGCGAGTTGGCGCTGGTCATGCCATGCACCTCAAGCTGCCCACGGATGGGGCTACCATACTGTTCCCCTGTAATGGACAGGAACACCGATGTCCCCACATGCTGGAAGCGAACTGAGGCCTCACGTTCCCAGTGCTGCCCGGAGCAGCGTACTGTCCAAAGGTCCAAGTCGTCACCTTCGCCATCCTCCCCAAAGGCACTCACCTCCTACGGTGGAAAGGGCAGTGGTCATCATAGAGGGCCCCTGAGTCCCCTATAGCCTCAAACATCTAGGATGATCTGCCTCACGCTTCCCTGCATCACCTCTGAGCTTCTCACAGCTGCAATGCCAACAATCTCCAACCGCAGCAAACATGGAAACATGGACCCCTCTTTCTGGCCCAGGCACACAGTGGTCAATGGTCCTGACAGTAGAGGCCACCCTATTCCTCTTAATCACCCTCAGCTATACTCCCTTATGGACAGTTAAACCAAAAAGGTCAGAATGCCTGCCAGTAAGTCAAATCAACTCATGACAATTCTTGCTCCACGCCTCAGTTTCCTCTTCTGTGAAGTGGGAGTTGAATCTGGAAACTGTTGTCAACTCTCAAAAGTACCCTCTGCCCAATGTGGCCCTGAGTTCCAAAGAAATTCCGCCTTGACAGTCTTGCCCAAGAGCTCGAAGGCCCCTCTTCTCTCTGTCCCCCACCAGACCTGATTGCTCAGTCCTTTCTGGCTCAGCCCAGCTCTCTAGCCAAAGTTCTCTTCTTTTTTATCTAGGGCTGAGTCGGTAGATCCTAAGGCAGGCGCTCACTGCACACCTGTGTCTCTAGGTGAGGTTCTGTAAGCCTAAAACTCCATTTCTGAATTTAACACCTATTTCACAGAGGCTGAAACGCGAATAAGGGGAAGCACTCCCTCACCCTACTCACAGCCAGCCCCAACAGGGGCTTTGAGTGTAGGGGAGAGTGTCCTGCGGGGCTCACCTGATTGTTCGACAGTGGCGAGGAGAAATGGTGCGTGTGCAGGTTCTTGCCGGTGAGCACGTGCGTGAGCCGCACAGTCTGCCCACAGCGCACAGGGACCCCACGCGGACACGCGCCCTCTGGGCCGCCGCGGATCCGCCAGTAACTGTTGGCGTCGTCCGAAGCCTCCACGCCAGTCACGGACTGCTGACCACTGCCTGCCATGCGAGAGGGCCTCAGTCCAGTCTTGCCCCCAACCGGAGTCCCCATCAACAACTAACTCTCTGATGGTGCTCAGAACGGCCTACCAGATGATCCCTAGCCTGGTCCTGTAATCCGTTCCCTTGCCCACGACGACCCCAGCAAACACCCGGTCCACCTCTTTCTCCCACCCGCAACCCACCTAGCCTCCGTCTGACACCCCACTCCCCTGGCCCGCATCCCGAGGCCCCCTAAGACTCCCAGCCCACATGTCCGCCACCACAACTGCGCCTGTGCAGGACCCTCTGCCCGCGCACCAGAGCCGTATTTGATGTCATGCGAGTGCAGCCGAACCCGGTGGTGCGTGTTGAGGAGCTTCAGCACCGACCCGCAGGTCACAAGCCCCGCGCGATTCTTGGTGCCACCGCCGCCCTGCACCGAGAGGGATAGCAACAGCACAAGCAGCACCGGCCCAGCAGCGCAGACACGGTCTGCTTTCTGCATCGCCGCGGCCAGCCTCTGGCCACTCGCTTCAGCAGCTTCCGTCTTATTGCCGTCCAATCGCGCGCTGACAGCGCCCGCGAGCCTCAGCCAATCTCCGTGTGGCGCGGCACTCTCCAGCGCTGCCATTGGGTAGCTGTGGTTGTGAGCCACCCCCAAGTTTCAGTGCCGCCGCTGGGAAGGCGCTGGAGACACAAGAAGGGTATTAATTGGTCCACTTTTTCAAGGTCCCACCAAAGAGTACGTGGCTAAAGGCTGCGGAGGATCTCAACAGATCTTCAGGATCCTGCAGAGCCTGGCTGTACCCAGGTTCCGGATCTGGGGACTCGGCGGGCGGGTGGCCTAAACACTTCAGTGCTGGATTTCTGGGCCCTCAGATGTGATCTGCGGGTCCGCAGCTGCAGTCTTGAGGTACATTAGACTTCGATGATTACCAAGTGGTTGGATCCCAGAGTTACCGAGATTTTTGCCTCCCCAAACCCTGGGTTTAGTCTCTCAATCATTACTCATCTCTGACACTAGTTTACTACGGTTTTGTTTGGTTGTTTTTTTTTTTTTTTTTTAATCTTTTTTGTGTGTATTCCGTCAAATCGGATCTGACTGGTAGAGGAGGAGACTGTTCCTCCTTCTCTCAGAAAAGCATCTGGTTAGTTTACTGCGGTTTTTGGACCTCTGTAACGTTGTTGTTGCTGTTATGTGCCAGTGGAATCGCCAGTGACTCATAGCAACCCTATGCACAATAGCTCTGAACCCTACCCTATCCTGAGCCAGTCTCACTGTTTCCGACACGCCAGCCTCCATTACCCTGTTACTGTGTCAGTCCATTTCATCAAGGTTCTTCCTCTCATACGCTTTTCCTCCATTCTTGCAAATATGATATCCTTCTCAAAGGACTGGTCCTTCCTGGCCACATGCCCAAAGTATGTCAAATGGAGTTTCAAAATTCTTACCTCCAAGAAGCAACTTGGTTTTACCATTTCCAGGACAGACTTGTTTGTTCTTTTAGCAACCCATGTTCAATACTCTTCTCTAGCACACAAGTGTAAATTCTTGGGAGTTCACAGTTCAATACTCAGAACGCCGCTCGGAAGCGGGAGCTGTCGTGTTCCCTTTCTCTCTCTGTGGCCACCTGCCACGGGCTGCTCCAGTCGGGAGGGGCTTATAAGCCTGAGGTCTAGGGTCTAGAAGAGGGAACATGAAGGTGGGTAGAAGTTCGGCGAAGGGACGATGAAAGAACACAACACAAACAGTCAAGTGATCTTGATGATTTTAATTGAGTCATTCTAATTCCCCTTCTTCTTTCTTCCCTGCTTTTCCTTTTCCCTTTCCTTTCCTGCTTATTACATTTTACATGATACATTTATATTCCATTTTTACAATTAGAGGCTTAATCAACAGCCAGAAAAACAACAAAAGCAAGAATAAAGTTTACATTATTTTCTTACACACAGCTATTATGGTTATGGTTCCTTGGAGAGCATGAAAGGCTATTCTTAATGGTCATGGTTCCTTGGTAATTGGAGAGCCTGGTAGACAATGGCTTTTCGCTTAAACATCTTCTTTTTAAACCTGTTCTTCAACTTGTTTGGTAGCAAAGTTACAAAGTAAAAAAGTTACATTTTAAATTTAAGCTGATATACTTTACGTTTTTAGCTAAATTTACAGTATTATTTATTTCCATTCAAAAGACAACACTTTTACACTTTCTATTATTCCAGGGGTGATCACTATCTCAATAAAGGGGTTTTGGTTTATAAAAAAGATGTTTTGGGTCATAATATCGTCTAAATTCATCATTCCAATCTCATGTTTCATGATT